CCGTCTTGTCTCCCTTCTGTTTCCTTTTGTCTCCCTTCTTGTTGGTCATTGTGTCCGCCTTGTCTTCCTTCTTTCCTTTACATTCGCCTCCTCTCTCCCCCTCTCGCTTGCAACCCTTCACATTTGTCTCCCAGCTGCCCTGCCCTGCAATATTACATGTGTCTCCCAGCTCTGGGCTGCGTGTCGCTTGCAATCCTTTACATTGTCATTTGTCTCCCTGTGTCTACATGTGTCTCCCAGCTCTGGACTGCTGTGTCCGCCTCTGCCTTGCAATCCTTTACATTTGTCTCCCAGCTCTGGGCTGCTGTGTCCGCCTCTGCCTGCAATCCTTAATTTTACATTTGTCTCCCAGCTCTGACTGCTGTGTCCGCCTCTGCCTTGCAATCCTTTACATGTGTCCTCGCACGCCTTTGCATTTGTCTCCCAGCTCTAGACTGCTGTATCCGCCTCTGCCTTGCTATCCTTTATTTGTCACCCAGCTCTGGGCTGCATGTCGCTTGCAATCCTTTACAGTTGTCTCCCTGTGTCTACATTTGTCTCCCAGCTCTGGACGTCGCAAACTCTAGGTGCAGAGTGTTCCGATATTGAAAAAACACAAACTGTTTGGGGTCTACGGTGGTGTCATTTTTTAAAGGAAACGAACCGTTCATGTTCCAGAGGCCGCACGACCGAGTCTCTGGCCGAGTCAGAATGAATTTCTGTGCTCTGGCCGAGTCTCTGTCTCACCACCTTCGACTTCATCACTTAGCCAGAAGAGGCAGGTCATGTACCTGGGCGCGTCTTGGGCTCACAAACGCTGGAGACTCGTCCCAGCTGACTCGCTCAGGTTGGGGGTCGGCCACAAAGCGGGCGTTGCTTTGATGGTTGGATTACACTCGGACTCGGACGAACACATCACATGGAAGTGGATGGCACCCCTGTTTCTAGAGGTAAAGAAGTCTTCCTTTCGGAGCCCAGCCATCCACGTCCATGTTAGTGAGTCAGAGGATTATGTGACTAGTGTTTTCGGATGTTTAATGCTTTTTCCGATCCATGGGAGTCTACAATATATCAGTGATTATAGTGATTATGTCAGGGATTTCTCGGACATCCCATCACCAGTAGATCACTGGTGGCGGATCCTGACACTCAAGATCAAGTGACTCATGTGCATCACGCATCGACACCAGACTCTGGGTCTTCTGAAAAAACCGATGCACTCGTTTCGTGCATCACTCGTTTCGTGCATCCAACTGCGCCTAAACGGCCGCCAATCGCTGGTGCCGAACCCGCCCATCTGTACCCTTCCAGGCGACGAGCGGGTTCCCGTATCCTTTTGGAGTCCCGTTCCTGCGAGCGGCCGCCGCCGGCTCCGACGAATTCGAAGGGCCCCGGTTTGGAACAACACGGTCGTTCTTCGGACGGCCCGGTGCTTGCAGCCGGAGAGGATCCTGCTTGAGGCCAAAAACTACTAGCCAGAGTAGATGTTCGCTCCCCGATGGATGAGAAAGTCTCCTTGCAAATGCGTTTGGGCATGATGTCCCAGTGTTTTAGTTTTATCATGTTTTATCTATCGAAAACAACGGACACGATATAGTTTGCAAACCGGATGAAAAGCCAAGGTGCTTGGTGTTTGGGCCCCTGTATTGAGTCCCCTCTTGAAAGGTCCTTCTTTGAAAAGGGCCTTCTGAAAGGAGACGATCATCACACCCAAATACCTTTTCTTCTTCCAACATGGCCCCTAACTTCCGCATGACGGTCTTGGTTTTCGTTCGACTGACCGTGTCTTTTCGTTCGGCCTGGTATGTGCACAGTCCCAGGGGTGTGGCCATCGATGTGTGGGTTCAGATATTGGCCCTTCTCGTACTTCAGCACCGCCCAGCCTCGAGCCGTGAAGCCGCGCGACAGCAGAAGACTTGACTGACTCAGTAAATCCCCTCGGTTTCAATTGGACCTGCTCCAAGAGAGGTTGAGAAACCTGAACGTTCGGACCCTTTTTGGTGGTAGGGCTAAGAAGGGCTGCTCAACCTCTCTAGGCTCTTCATATGGGGGGGGTTCTGGTCCTCAAGAGTCTATATAGAGGCCGTCGAGTGGCTGGGTTCACCGAACGAAGAAAGCATCGCTTCGGGTTGGGCGGTTGGGGTGGTGGGACTCGGCCCAAGCCGCTGCGCCCTCCAAGCCCCGCCTTCCGTTTTCGGGAGCCCATCATGGATGGATGGGGCTCCCGCGCATGAGAAGAAGACGATTCGAAGCCATGATGAAACTGGGGGTGTGCTCGGCTTGTTTTTGTGGGTGACGTGTCAAACATCACATAGGAAGTTGAATGGAGTTGATGGGTAGTTGCTGCTAACGCCTCCAGGCGCCTGTGCCTGATATGTAATAACCTCCAATAATGCAGTATCTAGTGTGCTTGATCTATGACTTTGTCCTTCTGTGAGCTACAGGTGTGTTGGGGGGGGGGGTGGTTTCGTTCGGTTCGTCGATTCGTTCGTTTTCGTGCGTTTTCGTTTGTTCTCCTTAGTTTTCGTTTGATTACGGCCGGTTTCGTTCGGCTCATGTTTCAATCCCGCAGCCGCGGCCATGGCTCTCAGCCGTGAAACTCTTTTGTGTTTGTCGTTCATTTTTTTGCTTCGTTTGTGTGGGGAAACCGTTTCTGAGTCTAGGTGGCCTTTGGATCTCAACGTTCTTCCACCTTTTTTTGGGTTACTTCGATACACGTGGTTGCGAGTTTGGTTGACAATCTTGAAAAGCAAGAACAGGTCTCAGTTTTGGATTCAACTAGCTGCTTTGCATGTGCTATCTGCAAGATTAAATCGCCCCATGTCTTCGAGCCATGCAGAGCAAACTCGTCATGATGGTCATGCAGAGGTCCTGAACGAGGACACGGTGCCTGGGTGGATCTGGGAACGTGAAACGGGTCCTGCAGAGGTCCTTGCACTTGTTTGGGGACATGTGGTGCTTTACCACGCTCGCCGGCTCCTCCAATTTGTCCCCACCGGACCAGGCCTCCCCGGGCAATATCGCATCGACCCCACAGCACGACTCTCCTCCAGCAACCTGGCCACCCTACACAACACACCGCCCGGCTTCCCTTTGCCACAAACACTCTCCAACCGCTCACCCTCTCCAGCACCACGCACACCACCAGAAGATGCAGAACGTTTCCACCACTACTGGACCGGTCCTCCACCACGTGCCAACCAAACTCCCCGTCTCAGCAACGACAACCGAGCCAGAGAGCGTTCTCGCTCCCGTGATGCCCATGCAGACTGACCACCTACAGCACTCAGCGCCACAGCAACCTTGCAGCTGATGACCTGCGGCGGCTGCCCTGCTCACACCTCCACTTGAGAACACTCCTGCGGCCGCGATTGCTGATCCATATTTCAGTCTCACCGACTTTCCACGGCGAGCACAGGCGACAAAAACATCGCCGCCAGCCACTCCGAATTTTCATGTTCTCTACTTAGATTGTTCACTACGTTGCAAACGTCGACCTTTCTTTCTGCAGCCATTTCACTGAACCGTTTTTCTCCTTCATACTCCCCATGACCGAGCGCCCCCTCCGAGATGCAATGCTGCGCGCGGATCTACAGGCTCGAAGACAAATCTGCCCCGCATGGTTGTGTTTTCCTTGTGTGAATCACTGTAACCGTAACCATGGAGCCAGTGGTTTTTTTATGCAGAGCTTCCTCGATTTTCCGGGTTCCACGCGCCCGGCGCGCCCGGTGATGCGAATAGGCCGGCGCACAATCTTCAGCGCATCCAGCACGGCGTGACGACGCTGAGCACGGAAGGCGCATCCTGTGGAATCGGTTCTGCGCCCACTTTGGGTGTCATTTTGTTCTCCTTCTGCAAATTCGCAGGCATGACGACACGGGCACTGCGGCAATTTTGGTGTCTGGACCCTTGACGCCCCGGCGACAGACCACGATCATACCAGCATCTCAGCGGCAATGCCAGCCAACCATCTTGACTCAAGCAGTCTTCCGTGCACCCTTTTTGTTCCGTGGCTTTTGAATGGTTGTGCAAAACAATACCCAAACATCGCCCAGGTTTTGGATTCACCTACATTGCAAAGCTTCAATGCTGTCGATCTTTGTTCGCCTTCTCCGATGTCCAAGAAAAGACGGACAGGTGACCTGGCCAGTGAAGCAGACTCTTTGTCTCCTCCCCGCGGCGACGAGTCTCCGCATCACTTGAGGAGCAAACTTGAAGCTTGGTGGGAGAACAGTCTTCCTGGGTGGCGTCAGCTCCCTCAGCCAGTGGTTGAAAGTTCCACAGCCTCATCTGTGGATGTGCAGCCCGGCGTTGCTATGCCGAGCTTGGTGTCTTCTTCGAGTACCACGACTTCTATGCCTATGCCTTCCACGCATGTTCCTGGCGGGCCGTCTTCAAGCACCCCGACTTCTGTACAGGTGCTTTCTCCATGCGTGCAGGTGCGAAGCACTGGCTCCTCGAGTGGCACTGCTGCGGCGCAGGTTGATGAGTGGGGTCTGAAGCCAACGAAATTTGGAAGGTGTGAACAGTGTGGCTACGCGCTCAGGCGGGTTTCCTATTGCTGATTTTCCTTTTTGGTTTGGGGTGCATGTGCAATGAACCGGCTCGCCAGGCAGAAGATCTGGCACAGTGGCACGCGGGCAGGACACGCCGTTTTGTCGCTTTGCAGCCTTGTGTCATGGTTCTGAAAGACAGTTGCAATGTTCACAGAGGCACTTTCCGGACTCCTGTCTTCTTCAGCTTCTGCCATCACATTCGTTTCCTAAGGATCTGTAGCCGCTGGTTTGAGAAGGATGACAGCCGACGAAGGCTTTGCTGGTTTTCCCGCGAAGTTTCCGGCGAGACAGTTCGTGCGTGGGGCAAGTGGTGGGCCAACACGTACTTTAGTTTACCGATGCGCTTGCGTCGAGGGGGCCGTCCTTGAAGGAATGGTCTTCTCTTTACGCACGCAAGCACAAAGCAATCTACTCAGATCGTTCTCCGAGCAGAGACTCGTGACGCAGAGATTGTTGCAAAAGACGGCCCTGCTCCTTCCTCACGTGCTCTGATGTTCCCAGTCGATGACAATCTTGCTGATTGACTTCAGTCCAAGAGGTGTTCCTGACTGTGTGAGATTTTGGACCAAGTGTAGAGCACACATGCGTGTCAATGGCCACAGAGAGGCTTTGAAAAAAGAGGAACCTGTCAATGCAAGGTCAGTTTTGATGGGAATATGTGGACACAGAACTTTCTCTTTCACACTCGAATCTTTTGCTGTGACATAAAGACACCTTTTCATGCCGTCACCGGCCTGGAGCGCAAGTGCTGCTGCTGTGAAGCCGACCGGAGTGTGGTTCCTCGATTCCAAACAGATGTTTGGATTTCAAGATGTCTCTCGGTGTCTTCTTCAAGTACCACGACTTCTTCGACTTCACGGATATGTC